GGGCCCACACACACACACACACACACACACACACTCTCTCTCTCTCTCTCTCTCTCTCTCTCACACACACACACTCACACTCACACACACACACACACACACACACACACACAAACAATTAAAGGCCTGTGTGTTGCTCCGTGTGGTGTGGCAGGAAAATCTTTATCCTCAGTGGCAATTAACAGTCACACAGAAAATCCAACTCACGGGTCTGGAATAATTCCTGGAGAAACAGTTCATGAAGAGATGGAGATGAAAGCAAACGGCAGCAGAAGCAAAGTCCTCCTCAGGAAGCGCGAAACAGTCCTTTCCGCCAGCAATGGCGTCCTCTTGGCTTGCAACTCGCTGGCTTTGCTTAGTTAGCACAGTCACTCTGGCAAAACTCAAACGCCCTAATCCACTGTGTCCAAGTCACTGTCCTCAGCTACAGCTTCTTCTGTTACTGAAACATTCAGCAAGGTATCTACCAAAACGTCATTACTTCTTCACTTTATTTTAGCTCTGCATTTCTCTCTTTTTTCTTCTCTCCTTCTCGTCGATTCTCCTGTCTCTCTTGTTGTCGTTTTTTTTTCTTCCCGCCCCTTTTCCGCTCACTCCCTTACCTACGGTCAATTACCAACAGGTGACACCGAGTGACGCATACAGCAACCAATCAAATGAAACAGCATGAACCAATGACACAAATCTGAATATTCACGTTTGGTTTACCACACACTTTTCTTCAGCTACTATATAGAACAATTGACTGTACTTACTTGATTAACTATTTACACTCTACTTTATATGAATTTATGTTAATCTCTTGGTTAACACTTCATCTATCGCTGCTTTTAATCGAAATTACTGTCAGTTTACTTGCATTACTAAATTATTTAATTAAATAATTGAAATAATTATTTGTATTACACATTAACTTGTTTTAACCCTTGTATGTTTACACCGGGCTACATCAGTAACTTACTTTCTATACATGTATCTCAAAGTGCTTTACAGATGGAAAGATGGAAGCTGCGTATAAAACACATTTGAGTCAAAGTTGAAAGTTTATTATTGACCTAGGCAACAATAGTTTGACAAAACTCTACAAACTCCAGACTCTTTTCCACTTGCTTGTGTAAATTGATACAATCTTTCATTCAGCATTTCGTTAAAAAAAAAAAGTTAAAGGTCCAGTATGTAACATTTAGGAGGATCTAGATACAGAAATGGAATACAACATTCATAGCTTTGTTTTCATTAGTGCATAATCACCTGAAAATGGGAATCATGTTTTTACAACCTTAGAATGAGACGTTTTTACAGATGCCATGGGTCGCCATCCATGGAGTTCACCATGCTAATCCGCCATGTTTCTACACTAGCCCAGAAAGGACAAAAGAAACACTGACAGTAGGTAGTAAATTGGTAGATGGATTGGTGGGTGTGCAATTGGGAAGGTAGGTAGATTTTTCGCACGATTCATGGCCACCATAGTTTCTCCCTCGCCCTTGAAAAGGGAGGGTGAACCGAGGGAGTTGCAAACTGCAACTACACTGCTAGATGCCACTAAATCCTACACACTGGACCTCTAAGTGTGTTAGGTCATTGTAATTTTGTTTTTGTCTCGCACAGAACTCACCAAAGCTCGTTTCTAAAGCCTTTTTTCCTTTATTTTTATTCTCTGAAGGCCTAGGGCTAATGGTAAGTGGTGTTTGTAGTTGTCAATGGGGTTTTGAATTAGCTTTCCTAATGAGGTTTCACTCATTTCACCACATGCCATGGTCCTCCACTGAAGTTCGGGAAAGCTTGAAGAGGGTTTAAGATTATTTTGTCATTATGATGTCAATATGTCAAAATGTTTCTTGCCTTATTGTTTTTAAATAGAGCAAATATATATATATATATATAAGCCACAGCTAGTAGGCTCGAACCAGTGGTTATGCTTGTTGTGTTACAGCTAGTGTTTTTCAAAATTCCCATAAACCCATTTTTTTGGTTTTGGGTTTAAATGTACAATATGTCACTTCTGCCACTAGGGGGATTTTGACATGAGAACAATAACAAAAGATGAAGTTTGATGAAGTAACGTGGGATCATGAGACAATAGAAAAAACATCTTGAGTCCGAGCAATTAGTGCTTACAATTTGTGGTACAAGTGCAAATATACAGTTAGGCCCAGAAATATTTAAACAATGACACAATTTTCATGAGCTCTGCATGCCACCACATTGGATTTAAAATAAACAACTGAGATGCAATTGTGCAGACTTTCAGGTTTAATTCAAGGGGTTGAACAAACATATCCTATGAAACGTTTAGGAATTGCAACCATTTTTATACAAAGTCTCCTCATTTCAGGGGCTCAAAATAAATGGACAAATTAACATTACCATTAATAAAATGTTAATTTTTAATATTTTGTTTAGAATCCTTTGCAGGCAGTGACTGCCTGAAGTCTGAAACCCATGGATATCACCAAACGCTGGGTTTCCTCCTTTGTGATGCTTTGCCAGGCCTTTACTGCAGCTGTCTTCAGTTGTTGCTTGTTTGTGGTCTTTCTGCCTTAAGTTTTGTCTTAAGCAAGTGAAATGCATGCTCAATCGGGTTGAGATCTGGTGATTGACTCAGCCAGAATATTCCACTTCTTTGCTTCTGTCACATTATCAATAAACACTATTGACCCATTGCCATTGGAAGCCATGCATGCCCATGCCATTACACTGTCTCCACCATGTTTTATAGAAGAAGTGGTATGCTTTGGATCATGCCTTCTCCATATTTCTTCTTCACATCATTCTGGTACAAGTTGATCTTAGTTTCGTCTGTCCAAAGAATGCCATTTGAGAACTGGGCTGGCTTTTTTAGATGTTTTTTGGCAAAGTCTAATCTGGCCTTTCTATTATTGAGGCTGATTAATGGTTTGCACCTTGTGGGGAACCCTCTGTATTTACTCTCATGAAGTCTTCTCTTTATGGTAGACTTAGATACTGATACACCTACTTCCTGGAGAGTGTTCTTCACTTGTGTGGATGTTGTGCAGGGGTTTTTCTTCTCCATGGAAAGGATCCTGCGATTATCCACAACTGTTGTCTTCCATGGACGTCCAGGCCTTTTTGAGTTCCCAAGCTCAACAGTGTGCTCTTTTTTTCTCAGGATGTACTTAACTGTTGATTTGGCCACTCCTAACATTTCCGCTATCTCCCTGATGGATTTCTTATTTTTTGCAGCCTAAGGATGGTCTGTTTCAATTCCATTGAGAGCTCCTTTGACTGCATGTTGAGGGTTTACAGCAACAGCTTCCAGATGCAAATGCCACACCTGGAATCAACTCCTTTTTTTTACCTGCTTAATTGATGATGGATTAGCGAGGGAATAGCCCATGCAGCCCATGAAATAGCTTTTGAGTCAATTGTCCAATTACCTTTGATCCCTTGAAAAAGAGGCGGCTACATATTAAAGAGCTGTAATTCCTAAACCCCTTCCTCCAATTTGGATGTGAAAACCCCTTAAATTAAAGCTGAGAGTCTGCAAGTTAAACCCATATTGATTATATAGCTGTATCTTGAATATGTATGTAAACAGCTAAAATAACAAAACTTGTCAGTGTGCAAATATATATGGACCTAACTGTTGGTGTTTTAGAACTAGCCATTAGCTACCTTTAGTGGAAGCAAATAAAAAAAGGTAACGGGGACAGCTAAGCTACCTTAGCTAACCACTAAGTGCAGTTATTATGGAGTCATTATGTTTTCAACCTGTGAAACAGTCAGTAAGGGAAACATAAAGTTATTTGTATTACTATTACTATAAAGAGAAACTGTTGAGTTTACGATAAGTTTCTACAGTGTTCATATGTCAGTGCTTATGGTTATTTGGTATGTCTAACAGTGTTGCTGAATGTATATGTTTTGTAAAAGAAACCCCTATAGTTACACACTGTTAGCAATTGATGTAATTTCTACAGTAAATCTTACAACAATGTATTGTTTTTGTGTTTTTACTGTAAGTGGCAATGCATCATGGGAAATTTATGGACAGTCCTGTATTATTATTGTAACTACACTGTACAAGCGGAGTTTTACACTGATTTTACAGCCACCGCGTTGCATCATGGGATCGCTGCGGCCTGAATTTTGAATTTGAAGGCGGTTATTAACGAACATTCTGGGACGAAGCAAACATTAAAGAAGAAGAAAAAAAGAAGAAGATTCTGGGACGAAGGTAACTTAACGTTATGTAACTTACTGTCAGCCTAACCTATGTATTTTTATATCATAGATATAACATTATTAGTTCTGCTAATCTGTGTTGGTGGTGACGGTTTCGTCTGCTTTGATTAGTTAACATAAAGTCAGCTGTCTCCTTGTGGTTTAGCTAAATTGGTATCGTAAAATGTTCCAGTAGCCATAGGTGTGTAGAATTGAACGAAATCGGGTTTGGTTTTTAACGGGAGCATTTACTGCCTTAAAAATCCGGTTTTGTTTGCCGTGCTCGGAGTTTCGTGCTGGGCTGGTTTCCGCCCAATCAACGGTTAGACCGAGAAATCAAAATTCCACTGGAGCTCCGAGCGGACTTGTACACGCAGCCTTACAACACTGTCTACGGCTCTTTGAGTCACGCTAAAATGTCATTATTGGTACATAGCTAATGTAGAAGGAAACAGGTGTTTTTACGATAAGGTAGCTAACATTAGCTAACGCGTCTCTTCCTCCATCAGTCCATTGAAATCAGGTTTGTACCGGTAGTTGCTAACGTTAGCTAGCTTGTTCATCACAAGTTGAGTAGTGTGACACTGAGCTTCACACAGCAACAGTCCAAAATGTTTCTTTCTACGCAAGTTTAGCACGTGTGGAAAGGAATTTAATAGAGTTTGTGAGTTTACTCAGCACATTAAGTTGCATAGTAATAGTGCTAACTACAGATATCAGTGTGGTGTGTATATCAGTATGTTAAAATTCCTGTTCTTAAAGCTCACATGTACAGAGACCACAAAGCAGATGTGCCTTTGAGGAATAGTCAGCGACCATGTACTCCTATACAATGTGATTTTTGTGCAGTAAGGTGTGAAACATCATCTTTACTAGTTTGTCACTTGAGGTCACATTTGCGTGAAGGATTACACATTGAATGCCCATTTAGAGGATGTGATAGAAGGTTCTCTGTTTCTGTCGAGTTTTGCATCCCATCTTTCTAAGAAGCACCGCAACGACAGTGTTGAACATGTAGAAAACCCCTCTAATGTAGGAAGACCTGTTGCCAGTGAATCAGTGAGTCAGTGTGAACCATCTAACGTTAATTATTCGTATGATGAGAAGTGCCTGTTTCAGTTGATCTTGGAGTACTTGGGAAAAGTTCTGGAAGCCTACAATGAAGAGTGTGGCAACAAAGCTATCTGCACCATCATGGCCTGCTTGCTCACTTCAAGGAGGGGGATGGTATCTTCCTTATGGCTGATGTGAGTATAACTTGCAGTGCATATACATAAATTAACCATTCCCTCACTCCCTCCCTCCCATTACCAGAAATCAGTCACCAGCCCCATCCTTTGCTATGGACACTTTGCACAAGTTATTCTAATACTCCATAGACTCTGATTAGCCTGAGTATCAGACACCCGTCTCATTCAAGGCATTTACAAAGGGGGAGGGCTTTAGATACCTTTTCAAAAGAAAACTTTTCCCATTGCCAGTTCGGAGAACAGCCAAAATGTCATCCCTTCTAAAAAAAGCTCTCCATGCAGAATACTGTTCTGGTTTCAGAGCAGTTATTCCAGTAAACCGTGTGTTTTTTACGAAAACTGCCTCAATCGCACTATCGATATTCTCCGATCTCCGATATTTGCCATGTGCAGCTGTTTCTACATTTGGCACCATACGTTGAAGCTGATTTCCCCCTAGGTGTTGAGTAGAACATGACAGCTTTTGTTTTCTTTGTCCTTGTTCACTCAATTTACCCATGGTTAACTTATGGTTTTTATTCTCCAGCCCTCTGCCACGGCTGCCGATATCGAGAGAGCTGTCACCCTGCCAAGCACACCTCGATTAGTTGTACCAGGTATAATCTTCTCCTATTTTGTAGAAGTTAATTCTTTAATGAATTCATGTGGTTGAGGGAGGACTGTTGCTCCTAAAAAAATTCTTACTTTGAGTTGTTGATGGAGGCTGCGGTGGTCAAAGGAGATAATAATGTTCAAGTGGAGGTGTGCGAGTCTTTCTCCACTTGAACATTAATGAATTCATGTTAGGTGGTTCTAGTGTTAGGTGGCTCTAATGGGTTGTGCAGCTTTTAGTTATCATATTGTTAATGGATTTCAGGAGAGATACTGCACGGTGCAGACACGTGGATTATGTCCATGGAAGGAGCATGTGTGATGGGGCCCCACAGCAACCTCCTGCATGGATTGGCAGCAGTCTTCGCTGCCTACTATGTGTTCAACTTGCGATATCCGGCATAAGCCGCTAGCACACTTGAGTTCATCCAGAGGTGTGTTTAAACATGGCATTGTCATGAAAACGATCATAGCAATTACTTGATATATGAAGGGATCTTAATCAATGTTTATGACTTTTCTGTAATTGACATTTTTGTTAAAGTTAGGGATGTCAGTAAGTTGGCCCGGCCCACTTAATACAAAAACATATTACTTCGCATTTTGAGTGATCAGATTTTACACATTACTTTGCAGGTATAAGAAAAAACTCAAATTATGCTATCCAATTTGGTGAGAAAGGGATGAGGGGATGGGGAGAGAGTAATGACGATCGCACACACAGACACTCACTCAATCTCTCACACACACTCAGGGGTTAAAGTATTCCGGCACCGTGCCGGATCTCCGGCATAACACGGTTGTGAAGACATTTTCATCAGGATAGAAATTCGGGAAGGTTTATCATTTTTGAGTTCCCCAAAACCAATGGCAGCTCTCACTTAAAAAAAAACGTGTTTAGCCAATCAAAAGCAGAGTAGGGCGGGACTTGTGTTCGCTGGCTATAACAACGTGCAGCTATCCAACAAGATGAAAGTTTTGTCTGAAAGTGTGTTTTTTTTTTTCCCCCTGTTTTCAGAGCCTTTTGCGGCATAAATCCCCAGACGGGCAGCGAGGCAGAGAAAAAACGAGGGCTGAACGCACCAGTTTGCACACTTTTGAGAAAACTGCTGGATTTTGAATTGGTGGGTAGGGGATATTAGTGGGCAGGGGAAATTAGAGGGCAGAGGACATTAGTGGGCTGAGGACATTAGTGAACAGGGGGCATTAGAGGGCAGGGGACATTACAGGACATTAGTGGGCAGGGGGCATGTCTCTATCAGCAAACTTGATCACAATATTGGATTGATGTGCTTGAAAAGGCTGAATATTCCTCTTTTGTTAGATTACTCATGTTTAGATTTCTGAAATATGTTTTACATCTCACGTTCAACCAGTTTGGTACAGTAATAGCAGCAGGGCTGCTGAGAAAGAAATCTATGATGGCAGCTTTGCCAATTTTGTCCCATCTGAGCAGTCTTTTTAAGCCAGTCATTTATTTAGCTTTCATTGCAGTCAAACTATATAAGTAACATTTCTGCCTTCATAAGGATCAATGAGTCAACACCTTTGATGTCAGGTATTAACAACAGCAGCATAACTAATAAATAACACAGGAAAATGTGTCAACGTAGTAGAGAATTCTTTATAACGTCTTCCTCCACTGCAGATTAGACTGCTATCAAGAAGGGGTTGTAGCCAAAAAATGACACTTTTTTGTCAAAGAATATAACTATTGACATTCAGATTGGCAAAACAAACTGTGGGAGTGGTGTGGAAAAGCAACATTCCTTTTTTAAGGCATTTTTTGTTGTTGTGGGAGATAAATACATTTTTTAACAACTGATGCTCACTAGATGTCAACTGGGTAGATTACACAATGCAACAATCAGTGACCTCTGACACTACTGGATTTATGATGTATTTACTTATAATTTATAGCCATATGACAGATACAGTCAGTGAGAATCACTGATGGCCTTCAGAACATGACAAACTGCTGCACGTTTCCACATAACACCAATCCTGTACAACCACTGCAGGGTTTACGACTGCCACTGAAGAGCCTGAAATGTGTGTATTTGTGTGTGTGTGTGTGTGTGTGTGTGTGTGTGAGAGAGAGAGAGAGAGAGAGACTGTATTTTAATGAGATTACTTCCTTCACTTTCCAGGATGATGTTTTTAAAATTCAAGCAGTGATGCAGGACTGAGTGCCGATACTGTAAGTCATAAACTTGAGGAGGCTTAATCCTACCTGCTAGCATATCTCTGTGAGCTTCTCATTATAAAGAATCAAAGATTAGAGACGTGTGGTACCTATGTGCAGTTTGCCACATTATTCATCTTCCCTGAATAACACCTATTGATCCTCTTATTTTTTCCTGTTCAGTAATCTTATTAGCCTGATCCCCCTCTCCCCTTGTCCACCGCAACTTCACCTACCACAGGATGTTTTTGCTATACCACTATCATCATTAAAATGAAGTGTCTTGTTTTCTGAGCTGGTATTTTCACTGTTTACCCATCTTTTTCCTATTGTGCTGTGGTTTGTATGCAAAGGTCTTGTGTGGTTCCGAATCTTCCTCTTTCTCTAACCCCCTCTGCTTTGTGAATATTTCATTCCCCATCTCCCCCTGTAATGTTAATCCAGTCCGAATGGGGTATTAGTCTTGACGCAATGGATCACATGCTTTAGAGCTGTCTCTTCTTGAAGACATTCATGGTGAATGAAAAAAGTGAGAGAGAGTTAAAACCCTGTCTACTTTCTGCCTTTGTGCTTGTAGCCTCCTCTCTAAGGCAGGCCCTATCCTCTACGTGTGCAGATTAGTGTAAATAGAGGTGACACAAACAGTACTAGTGCCAACCTACCAGCATGATACAAATAAGCTTCCACTCAGCATTATAAAACAAAGAAGGACAAGCCCTATTTTGTAACAACCTGGCCCAAAAGTATGTAACATAAGAGGCAGACCACACAGTCCAAAATCAATTCTCAGTGTTTAATTAAGTAAACACTAAAATAGGGTATGTCTGTCAGCAGGTCAGTATGTCTGTGTGAGTGACAGTCAGTCACTACTCAGTCACACACTTATTAGTGTAGTTGCTACTGTTGTTGCTGTGCATCTCTGTGTCTGTCTCTCTCTCTCTCTCTCTCTCTCTCTCTCTCTCTCACCCCAACTGGTCGAGGCAGACGACCACCCACCTAGAAGGGTCTGTCCGAGGTTTCTGCCTCTTAAAAGGCAGTTTTTCAAGGTGGTACTGTTGGGTCTCTGTAAATAATGTTATAAGGAGTTCGGTCTAGACCTGCTCTATTTGAAAAGTGTCCTGAGATAACTTCTGTTATGAATTGGCGCTATACAAATAAAATTGAATTGAATTTAATTTAATTGGTGAGGAGTGTGTGTGTGACAATGAAACACAAAGTACAACCAATAACAAGCTCAGTCAGGGGCAGGTCAGAGGTGATTTGACACCATGGACGACAAGAAGTTCATCTTGGAAGTGGAGAAACACACCTTTTTTTTATCCTTTATAAGGACAAAATACATAATTCAATTCGTCGGGCAGGACGCTCTTATGATGGTTCTAAAATGCTCACAGTGGGATTTGAAGATGCGTGGATGACGGAGCCAAACCACATTGCAGACGCAATGTCATAAAGCAGTGCCCAGTGGAATTTCAGCATGAGAGGGGCTTGCAGATCTTATTTACAGCCTCCTGAGCCTATAGTCTCTGCCCAACCTCTCATTTCTTGTCTCCGCTACATTCCTCACATCCTGGAACAAAGGGACAAGAACCAACAAGAAAGAACAGAACTGTCACAAGAATCATAAAGTAAGCGTGACTGATGGATTGTTTCAGACACTTTTTTTTCAGCAAGGGGTTCCATACCCTTTTAAATGATCCGACAACCACTTGGTTTGAAAACATCATATCCTGGATTCAGAAACCTGGATAAATAGCACAATAACTATGAAAATAAATTTATATTTTATTTTAAACAACTATAACGGCAACTACAGTAGCAAACAATATTGTTTGGATCACTTTAAGTGGATTTGATTAACATTTTTGTGATATACAACGTACCTAATGTTACATAATATAATTTTAGACATATTGTGAAATGGCCTTTAGCGATGATGGGGTCTCTGAAGTCCTGAATGATGTCCTCTTTTTTTTTTTTTTTTTTTAACCAAAGTATGAATAACATCTGTCTTAAAAAGATGACAAGGATTCTCCTAACTCATGTAGTCTTTGAATAACTCTGGAATCCCATATCATTCTGGTTTTCTTTTTGTAACAGCTTATCAATAACTGTATCCATTTTCTTATTAAGCTGCTGACACAGCTGGAGCGTGCATCGTGGTCTGGGGGGGTGTATCGTTCATCGTTAAAGTCACAGGCAATGGTGTGGACAGCTGTCAAGACTTTATCCTAGTGTTTGAGAAACCTGGATATGCTACATGGAGTGTATAGAACTCTTGTGGCATGTAAACATCTTCTACTTCTACAACATTCTTTGTTGGCCAAGATGGTGAGAAATCAAGACATCTGAAACAGACAATCAGAAACTTATATCTGATACTCTTATTTTCATTAATCATGTAAGAGTATGAAAAACCAAGTTTTTCATGTTCCATGTAAACACCATATCCTGAATATGAGCAAAACAGGATGAAGCTAAAATGAGAATACTTGTGTACATGTAAACGCACTCATAGAGAAACTCTTTGCCATCACTAATGAACTGGATCTAAGCTTTTGGTGTAATAATTTACATGTCTTGGCGTGCATGAGCAAAACAGTTAACAGTTTTATGGCTGCATCCCATGGATAAGTGTCTAGATTTTCCTGTCTCTCATGAGGAGAAAGAGGGAAGAAGGATATCAGCACACCCACATCCTCTGTGAAGAACACTCATCGCTCATTAAAATAAAAAACACAGCCGTCATCTAGACTGCTTCTTGTCACTCACTTCATTAGAGTGCTAAGAGCACAGATGGGGAGCTTCATGACAAGCCACTAGCAACTACCGATATCCCATCACCATGGAGAGGGGGGAGGAAACATTTATCTGTGGCGAAGAGCTCCACTGAGGGCACCATTAACGCTGCACATTTGATTGTCTCTGCACTTCCTCTCCTGCTGACTCCAACAGGTCGCCATGTCTTGATTTTATCACCGGTGTTTCTGCTAAGTAATCTGTAGTGGCTTCTCCAATCACCGGGTGAGATTGGACAGCTTGATATTGACACAGTAATCAGATTGCCAGCCTCTTATGTTGAAGAGGCCCAGGAGTCCTATGCGAATATTTCTAAGTTTACTTTTGACAAAAAAAGTACATCTCAAAATCATGGTGAGGCTGAAAGTACCAGTGTGTATTCATTTAGTGGCATCTAGTGGTGAAACTGCAGATTGCAACCAATTGAATACAGCTCGCCTTCCAGACATGTAGGACAAACAAAGGGGACAGCGAAACTCTCGAAAAACACAAAAGGCCCCATCTAGAGCTACTGTAGAAACATGGTTCAACATGGCAGACTACCTAACAACAATATCTCACCAGCTCTCTGTCATGCCACAAACGCTAGAGAAGGTGCACAGACGCTGTACAGGCTACTGTCAGTGTTAACTATAATACATACATAAACGTAACACAGTCCCCTGTGTGCCTGTGTGACACAGGCATTGGCACCATCTGCAGGCACATTATAACATTAGAAGTTACTACAATGATATGTTATGTCTCCCTGGCTGAATGACTTCATCAAAACAACACACTAGCGGTGGTCAGTTCTGACAGTACTATAACACTCGCTGTAACAGCCCAGATTGACCTACTGTATCGCCCATACATGCTGTGATTAGCCAGCCACAAATTGTCTTACGCCCAATAACTTCATCTCATTCCCTGTTGAAATTAATAATGGGCCTTTAAAATGCAACACGCAGAATCCATCATTAATAGGAATTGAATTATTTTGTTTACTCTAATAATTTATACTTTTTATTTTAAACTGAGACTTGGTTGTCACCTGGTGACTACAGCCACTATCATTATTTGAGCTCTCCCAGGTAAAGTGGTTGGGGTGGTGGCATAGCTGCTGCTTTTAAGAAATGCTTTAGTTGATGCCCCATTACTACAGATTAATTCTCTAGTTTTG